CATAAGTGGCCCCTTAACTATATATACAATTCGTGACCCAGCGGTTTTCTTCGGTACCTGGGCATGTATGGGCGACGTGGCTAACTTCAACTTCGGTATGGAGACTGTGGTGCGACACATCGAGTCCGCGTCCAATCTCCGAGATAGATCCCCAGGCACCGACGGAGAATCTGGATGGCTTTCAAACACATGCTAGGCATCGAACACTGAGGTATTTGTGCTTGCTCAAAGGTGTTTTTTCATTTGCGGCCAGGCCTCGGCAGACATTCGTTCCTTCATCTGTCGCAGGTGAGGTCGTCCATCGGATGTTGCCGGTGTAGTCGAACAATGGAACAATTTCTTGTCACTCTGCAGACATTCGGGTTGTGAGCAACCTTCCGCAGTGAGTGATTGTAAGTCACACGCCATCGGGTTGCGCAAGCGGTCCCACGTTCCATCGTTGGTCCATTCGAGCGTCGACGTGGTTCCATGGGAATGGTGTCGTCAGTTCGAGTAGGTTCTCGCGAATGGTGGGATGGGGCACCACATTCTCGAAGACAGTCCAGATCGGTACATTGCGGAACCGTTTCCGCAGGTTCTACATTTATATCTAGTGGCAAAGCTAACTCACCTAAATCTTTCAACGGTCTCCTTTATGCACAGCAGTGTATGCGGACCGACTCTCCTTTTGGCGGTAAGGTAAGACAATCGAGCAGCTATCCCAAGTCCGAACCAGCAAAAAAGCGAGAAGTGTATAATCACCGGCTGCACAAGTGTAGAAGCTAAAACCGAGATATAAAACTCTCCGTGAACAACTGACAAGGGCTGCCTCCGCACTATGCGCTACCTTGGGTACCGGCGATGAAGATGGGCAGTCGCTTTGGGCAATGCCTGGCACCTACCTACTGCGATTTGGATCCTGTTCCTTCTTGTCCTGGGAACGGTAGATGCCACGATCCCCGAACAACCACACGTTTCTGCGCTGCAACAGGTGACGAAATTCTGGATGCATCATCGAGTCCCGTTCGGACCACCGCCGCGACGAACCAATCACGAATACATGATCTCGGAGATGACCGTCTGTTGAAAACTCCGCTAGTGGAACCGGTGTCGGTGTTTGATGCGCTGGAGTGTCGGATCCAGTGTTTTGGCGATAAATGGGTGTCTCTAGCGACCCATTGAAGGTGTTCCTTCCAGGAGGACTGCGGCTAGAACCTCGTCGAAGAAAGGAGAAAACACAAGATGGCCTCTCATGTAGGGCAGCTGCAGAATGTTTTCCCCTTGGACGTGGCAATCTGCACCGTATTCTGCTAAAAACGGGCAGAATCGTTCTGTCACCGCACCATGTCCACCCGCACTGGTTTACAACGCACGCACACGTCTTTGCCTGTCAAAACACCAGTGCTTTTCAAACAGTGCCTGGGAATAGGGCCAAGAAGAAAGCTGTTCTCTGTGGGCAACCTTCGGATCAAAGCCAACCTTGCTCCCTGTCTACCTCGAGGTGGGTAGGTCGGTAGGTAGGCAAGTAGGTCGGTAGGTAGGTAGGTAGGTAGGTAGGTAGGTAGGTAAGTAGGTGGGTAGGTAGGTGGGCAGGTGGGTAGGTGGGTAGGTGGGTAGGTGGGTAGGTGGGTAGGTGGGTAGGTGGGTAGGTAGGTAGGTAGGTAGGTAGGTAGGTAGGTAAGTCGGTAGGTAGGTAGGTAGGTAAGCAGCGCAATGCAGATCGTAACCTGATTTCAGAGCTCGAGGCAAAGATGTTGGAGCTTGAGACTGAGGGCTGCAATCTCGTGCAACTCGCCACCGAGGCATGTTGCCGGTCATCCGTTCAGGGAGGATGGGCGTTTGGTTCGTTTTGATTCAGGAGGTGAAGGCCAGGGTCCCATCCAGCCGAGCTTTCAGCACGGAAGCTTACCTGATAGTCGTGCGGCCTAATTCGGGCAAGACGGCTTGCAACTTGCAGAGGCCTCTGCATTTTCCGGGAATTGCCCCGAGTTGCTGCGACGGTGTATAGAGATGAAATTGCGACAGATTGCGATGGCCGCTTCTGAAAGCCGTTTCGACGGATTCATGCACAACTGCTTCAAATGCCTGAGATTCGAATTAGAGGAACGAGGTTCTCACGTACGTACTCTTTAACAATCTTAAAGAGCCATCTTGGTACACTTTGACACCCAGTCTGTGACGTTCTGCCGTGGAGATGGAAAATGTGTCGCACCTGGAGCACTGAAGCCCGTAGAGGGACTGGGAACACGGCTTGAACCACAAAAAATCACAAAAGCATCGTGCTGATTCTATATCTCAAAGACTAATTTGCTCGAATGTCACGGCCCAAGCGAAGCTGGAGCTCAGGGAGTCCAAGGTTTGTGCTGGTGACAGTGGCAGGACACTCAGACAGGCTGAGGGTTCACAGCTCCGGCGTGCGGCTCATGCGCACTGCTAGCCTCATACGTGCCAAGGCTTGCGGTGGACTTCCACGCAAGTCCACCAACATGGAGGCCAAGCTCGATCCGGCGGACGATGATTTGGAGGCGCACCTTCGTTTACTGCGGGTCTTCTGAGAATGTTTTTACGCTTGGACATTTTACTTGCGTCGGATTTTGATGGTGTGGTTGTAGCTCGCTCTGCATCATTGTACCTCGTCGTTGTGACAAGCCTCTCGGTCAAGTTTTCCTACTCGAGTATTTTCAATGTTTGACTGCAAAGCGCTACTCGTATCTGACAATCGCACTCACGACAAGCAGGGTCGACTTGACGTCAGGGAGCGCAGTTGAGCAGCCCCCATAGTCCTATCATTCCCCAACCATCTGATTCCACACGATGTATGAAGTTCTCGAGAGCTGAAAGGTAGCTCTGGGTATTCCCGCTGCTGTCAGGAAGGGCTCTTCCAAGCCCGGCCGCCGGACATGTGTCGGTCGTGGATGCGGCTCTGGGGGGGTGATTGGAAAAGGATCGTTTCACAGGGGACTTGCAGATACTTGCCGCATATTTTTGAAAGAACACCTGGTGTTCGAAATGGCACGGACAGTGACGTGCTCAGTCTGTCACATAATGGGCGGTCGATGGTGTCTCTATTGTGACATAAGTGCACGTTGCGTTTTACCAATGAAGGGGAAGGCTTCCTTGCAGGCGTAGTTCTGGTTCTCCCGTAACTTACCTGCCATTGTCTTTCGATCTTCTTCTTCTCTGTGTGCGAGTCTGGACCGGTAGATTTTGCTGTGTCTTCCCATCAAAACAGGATTCCTGTTTGCTTGTGAGAACACATGATGTGAATGTGCGTGTGTATTTACGTATCCACATATGAATCAAAGGCTCATGCATTTTGTGCGTGTACGAGTTGTGTATGCATGCATGTATATACGTATCACATGCTTGTCTACGGCAGGGAGGCAGGTTGGTAGCTGGCTAGGTAGGTCGGTAGGTAGGTGTACATTGGTCCAGTGGTAGGCAGGCAGGGTAATGTCTCCGTACAGGCCTGTTGCTATGCCGTTTTTCTGCGCCCGAGGCCGGCGATCCTAAGACAGTGGCACAAGCAGGTACATGTCGAACTTTGGAACGACGGACAGGCTGAGAAGCCTCTGCGTTCCCGACTTGCAAAAGCTTCTGGGCTGGGCCTCGCATTTCGCCTCCGATCGTCACTGCTCGCTCCGTGGGTGCCTGATGGTGGATGGGTGCTGCACTGTTTGGGATCTCTGCTGACTCGGACTCCAAGATGACTTTTGTTCGTTGCCTTAAGCATGCCATGGCAAGGCTTTTCTTTGTTCCGATGCCACCTCTCACTGGATCGCTCAATCATGCACTCACTCTCTTTGTTCACTAGAGTTGAGATGTAGTGAGATTGCACAGAGGCCGTCCTTCTCGGTGCTTAGCAAGTGCTAGTTCGGGGCAGCGGGTAAGCAACACGTCGTCGTGCATGGCGAGCCGGCGCAGGGTCAAGACAGTTTCGGCGCTCAACAGCTCTTTGGCTGGTCTCTATCGAGCCATCGAGCTGAAGTGTGAGCTTGTGCTCGAATGACGCCACATCTCAAGTTTCGGATACTTAGTCTCGTTCGCAAACTTCCGCGGCTGCTCGCCGAACAGAATTCGAAACTCCATAACGACTGGAAAGGGCCATGCGCACAGCCCTGTTCATTCCTGCTAGTGCTTGCCACCTAAACTCCCCACCTAAACCCTAAACCGTAAGCCCTAAATCCTAAAATAACCCTAAACTCCCCACCAGTAGTTTCCTTTAATTTGCTTTTTGCCCACATCGGTCTCAGAGGAGAGCCGATGGCTTCTTGGTTCCACAAACTCTGTCCCGGGGTTTTCAAGGGTTTTCAAGATTTTAAAGTTTAGGGTTTCAGCTTTTCGGGTTTAGGGTTTGGGGGTTTAGGTTTTGGCGTTTAGGGTTTAGGTTGTAGGGTTTAAGGTTCAGGTTTTGGGGTTTAGGGTTTAGGGTTTAGGGTTTCGGGTTTAGGGGCTGGGTTAAGAGGGATGAACTCAGGGACCGCAGATATGGAGTGTATCTCACTGGGCCTTTTCTTGTTTTTTTGTGGTCAGGGTTCCTTATCAAACTTCCCAAAACCAAAAAGGGTGCCATGTTTATTCCTAACCCTGGATGGTATTAGGGAGACCCTTAAACGGGACCGTTTTTAACCTTACTTATGGCTCTCGTAACGGGGACCTTATTGAGAAGGCCCATATCGCCAAGGGTACCCCTAATCCTAATAAGCGGCCCTTTTTCCTTGCTTGTGGTCTGAGGTTTCTTGTCAAACTACCCAATACTTAGGGGCTGAGTAGGTGTGTTTAGGGTTTAGGGTTTCAGGGTTTCGGGCCTACTGTAGGGGCTTATGTAATCCGACCAAAATTGAGTGCTGAAAACGCCAAATTATAGCTCGGTTAGAATAGTGGCAATCCACGAGACTCACTGGCGAGGTAGCTGGCAGTTCACCAAGGAGGACTGGCACGTTGTGAGCTCAGGCTCCACAGGCGAAAAGGGAGCAGGAGTGCTCGTGATGATACACTCATCGTTGTGCAAGCAGCAAGCAACCCGGTACAACGAGGTCCTTCCTGGACGAATTCTTCAGGTCAGGGTACCGGGCGAGAAGCTCTCACTTGACATACTCTGGAAGCATGCAATGAAAGCAGCGCAGAGGCAGTGGAGGAGGCAGAAGAAGAGGCCCGTCCTGGGGTGCAGTTGTGCAGTGACGGCTAAGTGCGAGTGCTTTCAGGCAAAGTCCGCATTGCAAGCATCGGTTCAAGCCCTCCTGGAAGCCGAGCCCGGTTTGCTCTCGCGAAAACTTGATGGTCTTAGTTTTAGGCAACGTGAGAGCCACTCAACCTACGCCTCAGCCACAGGGCTACAAAAAGGAGCTCGAGAAAGCCCGCGGCGCGATAGTTTCCCTGCACGAGGCTCTGTTCCAAGGCTCGTCCTACTGCCTTTCTTTGCGTGCGTGTGCGGAGGAGCTCGAAGCTACTCGGCGAGCGAAAAACAGTGAGACACGTGAGAAGCAGCCCGGGTCTCATGCACACTTTCAGGCGGAATTTTTCCCTGCCCGCATGCCCGTGCGATCAAATCTTGGCAGCACGAGACCAGAGCTACTGCCTTGTCCTACATTTGGCCCATGAGCTGCTCCAAGAGCTTGCTGATCCGACTTTGGCACGTCTGACCATGGTCTTGTTTGCTCTTCTCCCAGCTTTTGCTGCCAAGGACGCTGCAAATCCTCTGCGAGACTCAACACCAGCAGTTGGTGAAGGAGAAGCAGAGGTGCCAAAGCACGGCTGTTGGTTTCCGAACTTAGTCCATGATCAATCAAGAGTCACCGTCGACTGGTAGGCACGCCAGGAGCATACAGGTTAGAGTTCGCAAACGCAGTTATTGCTCGACAATGTCAGCAATGCTTGGCTTAGCAACGGTACGGGAGCACAGGTCAGGAAGAGGGCCCCCAATTACCGGCGAACCAGAACAAGTCAAGGATAAGAAGCGCTCGGCGATGTTCAGGATTTCAGGTCCCCATGCTCTTGCATCATCAAGTTGCCTGGAAATCTGTGCCTTCATTAGCTCTTGACAGCACAGCAGCAAACAGCTCGTGGGCGCCGACACCCCAAAGACATCTAAACACTGTCAATGTCTCTGCTCTTCTTGAGTTTGCCATGCGCTGGCCTCTCCTGAGCGGAAGGTTAACCCGACATGCCGAAGACCCTTTTCT